TGTCTCTTATACACATCTAGATGTGTATAAGAGACAGGGTGCAACATAGATGATGAGGATCGTTGGTGTTTTAGACAACATGGCAGGTCTGGACTGTTCGTTTGTGCTCGTTGGGGGGGGGGGGGGGGGGGGCTGTGGAGGGAAGAGATCCGGATGCTTCTGGTGTGGTCCCAGACGGACTTCGCGTAGCGCGTGGGTGCAACATAGATGATGAGGATCGTTGGTGTTTTAGACAACATGGCAGGTCTGGACTGTTCGTTTGTGCACGTTTGGGCCGCAGTTCTAAATCCCCCATGCTAGGACTTCATTCAAGGAGTTGCTTAACGAAGTTTGGAATTTCTCTCGCACTTATCGAGCAGGCAGAACCTGTGTGTGCCAACTGGAGTGCCGGGAAGCTTTTGCAGAAGTGGACTGATGTTCCCCAGGATGGATATTGAGCGAGGCCCGTGAGGACGTGTTTTTCCGAAAGACCTAAAATAACAGAAAAAGAAAATGACAAAGAAAGAAAAAGACAAAAGGAAATAACTGTTGCGTTTGAACTTTGAAGCAACAGGTCGGTTCCTACACCGTTTGTTTATAGTGCTACGTTAAAGATCTGAAGTGCATAGAAAAAAGAGGCCACTGGGTATTATTGTGATGGTATCAGGTTGAAAAATCGTATGATTGCGAGGGTATCAGCTTGAAGATCCCACGAATGTTTTGGTCTCAGGTGAATGATGTGATGGCATTTGTTCACTCGTTCGTTTCCGTTGCGTTTGTTGTGTCTGCAGGAGGCTGTGGTGATGGTGCAAAAGTTTCCAAAAGACAAGCCGGAGGAAGCGGCGAAGAGCCTGACAGATGAGGCATATAAGCGTGGGAGTGCGGACAACATCACTTGCATTGTTGTGCGCTTCTTGCATGACCCTAAAAGTTAAATCCGAACTACGCTTGTGCGGTCGAGTCTGCGTGAGATACCTATTCTTACGTAAATGCCACATATATTTGGGGAATTGGGGGGGGGGGGGGGGGGGGGGGGGGGGGGGGGGGGGGGAGGGGTTAGGAAGGGGGGAGGGGAATTGTGGGAGTGGTGTGGTCATGGAACTGGATTGACCTTGTTCATTTGGGGCGGACAAGGGGGCTGTATTCTTTTGCCTTGTGCATGGTGGTTGGATTGTTAGTGGGAAGTCGATTAGATATGTTGTGCGACTGATGGCATCCATATCCCTCTTTAGCTTGCATCGTATATGGTCTGATGCGGTGCTCATTCGGAGCGTATACATACATTGCAAAGAAGTTTGTCCTTTGTATTGGGGTCAAGTGTGAACAACCTGCCAGTCTCTTGTGGGAGACTCGAGCACAGCGATCGTTTTCATGACGCCTGAGCGCCAGGTCTCCTGTGAACGCCAGTGCCAGTACGGAACTCCTGGGAACAGGGTCCGGGAGCCTCCCTTGTGTTTGGTCCCCATCCCACTTGTAATGACGTCGTAATTTTCCCTGCTCTGAATGTGTGTCATCTTGACTGGGAGGTGTGGCATTGTTGATAATTCTCTTTACGGGTGGCATGAGAGTGGTTGGATCATATCGAAACGATCTGCACCTAACGAGTTGGGGAATCATATCATTGATGATTGTCAGAGCTTCGGCCGCAGCTGATGTTCTGTTGAATGATTTCTAGTACTGGAACTGTTTGCTTTTCCTAGTGAACTGCTGCTGACTACGCCTGCTTGGTGCTAATATGCGAGTAGCCATGGGGACCTTTTTCTTTGGTTATATTATGCATGGGAGGTGCAAGAGGGCATCTTGAATCTTGGGCATGGGGTTGCATTTGCTAGGTTTGACGTTTGACGAAACCCTTGGGGCCATTTCCTAAGTCTCACTTTCTCTCTCTTGGCTGGTTGGATAGATGGTGGAACAAAACGACGGGGCGGAGATTCGGTCCGAGTCTAGTCATTTTTTTTCTCATGATACCGTGTGGCTGTTCTGTTTCCTTGATCTAAACTGTTTTCCTGTGACGATCTATATAGCATTATTTAGTGGATTTCTGCATTGTCTGCCGCTTTGTTCCACGATGATGGGATGGAGAGCGAAAGGAGGGTTCCCATATCTGGCAGCTCCAGAGTGGTGAGCTGGAGGACCTTCCCCTCTGTGGAGGGGACCACCAAACTGCAGAGTTATCCTCATGGGAGTGAGCTTTCATTTGTGTATACAGTGTGTTCCCCGACTTCCCTCTTCTTTTTTTTCCTGCTAAACTTCTGTAAGATATTTCCATTCTTTTACGGTTGTCAATCTGGCGGAAACTCGGATGCTCTACATCTCTACATCTTGCTGTTCAAAGGCTTTAGCGGTCGTGACATAGACGACTGTTCCTGCTGAGTGGAACCATGATTGTTCATAGTGGCATGGGAGAGACAGGATATTATGATGTATCTTCTGACAATAGCTATTGCCAACGACGCAACTGAGACACAAGGGCAGTTTCAGTGAACTGTGACGAACGGGCCCATACAGTATGGCCCGATCCTTCAACTGCATGGGCGGTGGTGGTGGACAGACTATCGTTCTACGGTGGAAGCTAGGCAGGTGCTGCAAGAGCCAGGGGAGAGGGTAGGATTGTTGGAAAAGCGGGAGGCAGACAAAGGGGGTTAGCGAATCGATTTTGTGCCCCTCGTACAGGAACATGTGGAGAGCGGTTGAAACCAAAAAGACTGAACGTACTGATTGGCATGCCTGCCCTATCCGGTTTGCAGGGTTGAAGGTGGGTTGATTAGGTGATAGAGACGGTTAAGGAGTTTAGATACCAACAAGACTGGGTGCCTGTATTGGATTTGTGACCGGGTAGGCCAACGTCTGCCCTATCCGGTTTGCAGGGTTGAAGGTGGGTTGATTAGGTGATAGAGACGGTTAAGGAGTTTAGATACCAACAAGACTGGGTGCCTGTATTGGATTTGTGACCGGGTAGGCCAACGTCTTGTGCGGATGGGTAATGTCACGAGTTGATGCCTGTCCATACGACTGTTGATGGACTGAATGCGTCTTTTTGTAAAGGGTCTTTGCAGTGTGGATGGAAAGATCCCTCTGTTGCGATGGGTTATTAGGATGGGGACAATGAAGAAAGCTCTTCAGAGAGGCGTCATGTTTGCCAGTAGGGATTTGAGGGAAATGGTTCTTCGCAGGTTGTTGTTGACCTTTGAAAGTGCTCTCTACCTTCCCTAAGTCTCCTGATATCTATTATTAAACGGCTGATGGGCGCTTCCAGCTGAGGAGGTCTACGTACCACAGACTCTTTTCGTCCAAGCATCATCAGGGTGTGTGTGATGATATGTGTGTGTGTGTGTGTGTGTGTGTGTGTGTGTGTGTGTGTGTGTGTGTGTGTGTGTGTGCTTGTCAAGGCCGTGTTACAATGCTTGTTAATGTGGAATGCGACTGTGGCTTCTTCATTCATTGAACCTGTGTCCGCTTACTCCCTGCATTGGTCCGAACCCGAAGAAGACTCGATGTTAGGTTGCTATTGTCTTCAGTTCTTCTGACTTTGGAGTCTTTTCGTGTGTCCGGTCAATAGCATGAAATTGGGCTGCTTTTTCCAAGATGAAATGGACAATGGAGATGTACAGCCTTTGTGCATGTCACGAAAAGGTTCCATCAGGAAGTGCCGGTGTTTTGGTTTTCCTTCGTTTTCATTGTGTTCTTGTGTGTGGATGACAGACATAGAGCAAGCAAGCGAGAGTCATTCGTCGCCGGATGCTCCAACTCAAGATGATGATGGCAACTGCTGTCGATGGTGCATGGACTATATCTCCCTTAGAAGGTACCATGCTGCAAGTCTAGTCTTTGAAATGCTTTGTGTCGGAGGGCAACGTGCCTCCACGGCACCCGTTTACCCTTTGCTGGATAAATGGGTGTCTTTTCCAGAATCATTTCCTGATGTCAGTTTCACCGATGCCTTGTGTGGAATGGAAATAACAGGCAGCCTGACACACCTACCCACCCTCTGTTTTTGTGTGGGGTAATGACTGCACTTGAGATAACCTCGCTGTTTGCTTTGGCGGTTTGTGTCAATTTGCGCTAATTTTTCACTATGCGAGCTGAAGAAGACCTCTTGCCAAACCTCTGGAGGCTCGCTCGCAGGAACCAATGCAAACAGGAATAAAAGCGCTCGATAGCCATCTGATCTGAACTGGTGGAGCTTTATTTATTTTCTCTATGTTATCTATGATCTGGACCATTTCTCGATTAATGTGTTGTCCTTTTGCAGGGGTCATGCTGATCTTTTCTGTATCGTTCCAATTTTAACGGATATTCTGAAGGACGAATCCCGATGGAACTCGTCGAATGAATGAGAACTGGGAAAAAAAGAGATCTGAATTAGAGGTTTCTTTTCTTTCCTTTTCTTTTTTTTTTTTTTTTTTTTTTTTTTTTTTTTTTTTTTTTTTTTTGAATGTCATCTCCAGAATAGGACGCACAATGCGTGAGAGCTCTGTAGTCATCTCCTGTGCAGCAGAAGCAAATGCTGAGGAATTGTCAACATCAGGCAAACCATCTCTCCTGCGAGTGATACCTTGTGGAGTTCCCACAGCTGTTTCCTGTGGAATGATAGAGCTGGTTTTGCGTAGTGCGACTGTGTGGCTTCAGCCTCCCTCGCTACAGGTAGATGTGCCTGATGGTAAATTCGTGGTTGGTTTCTCCCTTACGGAGTCGAAAATAGGTAGGTAGTCAGCCTGTGATTAAAACACGGAGGTTAAACACCGAGGTTGAAGTTAATTTTCAAACTCAGGTTCAGAGGCAATCTGGACTTCTTACATGGTGAAGATGGACCCGAGATTTTCTCATGCGCACTGCCAAGTGTGCAAGGAAGGTTATTTTGGAGGGGAAATTTTAAACGTCCTTTCTCCTTTTTTTTGTAAATTTTTAACCACCGAGCCGCTCGGTCTGTCCTTGCACTCCACGAATTTGCGAGTGGTACTCTGTGTGCCCCAGTCCGCCGACCTCTTCTGCCCGTCAGGATGGTATCTACCGTTTTCGTGCGCCGACATCTGTATTAGAGACCGTGGGCCAATCTTCTCTGGTGCAGGGGGTGGTCTATGATAAGGCTACATTATGGACGGTATCAAAGATCGTGTTGTCTGCGTGGTGCTCATCAGCAGTCGCAGTGACCAATTGTGTTTGTAATACACTAGTCTGTGCCTGCTGCTTTATGACGAGTCTGGCACGCTTTTTTTCATGCCCTGATGTGGCGAAACACAGATTGTTCGGGTTGTACTGGGGTGAATGTCCCAAGTCGAATCCCCAAATTAGTTATTGAGGTGAATGTCTCGAGTCGACTCCCCAAACAGAATTTGAATTGAATAGAGGATTTTGCAATCCGTGTTCTGGGTTCCTGTGTAGTTGAGCAGCCTAAATGTTGAGCGAGTGCTTTTTGTCGATAGATAGGAAATAGAGTGCTTTTTTGTCGATAGACAGGAAATAGTGCTTTTTGTCGATAGATAGGGAAATTAAGGGAACTGAGTGTTTTTTTGTCGATAGATAGGAAATTGAGTGTTTTTTTGTCGATAGATAGGAAATTGAGTGTTTTTTGTCGACAGATAGGAAATTGAGTGCTTTTTGTCAATAGATAGGAAATTGAGTGCTTTTTGGCGATAGAGAGGAAATTGAGCGCTTTTTGTTGATAGAGAGGAAATTGAGTGCTTTTTGTCGATAGAGGAAAAGTAGGAAAAACGGCTGAGTGCTGCTGGAGGTGTGATGCAGTGTTTGGTTATCAGTTGTCAATACCACGGAGTTCAGGTGAGGAAGAGGTCTTAAGCAAGTCATTCCTTGCCGTGCACCGGTATTTTTTTGCCAGTGCAGAGGGGAAGTACTTATGAAGTAATGGCAAATCTGAATGTGGTCAGATTTGTGGTTGTTGTCACGCTCTTTTTCCCTTAAGCTTATGGAAATTGACTATGAGGCTATGAGCAAGGTTGGGGCGATGCTGGTTTTCAGATCCCATAGAAAGTGCATCTTTGATGTCTTGGGTATTTTAGGTATAAGAGGTATTCATTCGGATATGTCGTTTCGGGTGAATACTTGGAACGCGGTGGCGACTTTCTAGGTACTTCGCCAGTTCGCTTCTCCAGTGGTTTACTTGGACCGCAGTGCCATTCTGGAACTTTGGCTGCAGACTTTGATCTGTCAGATGCGTTGGGTGTAGTCGATGTGTAGGTCATATATCTATCGTGTGGGTTATCAATTCTGTGGTTGTGATGCCCAATGCTATGAAGACCATGTGTACTCATGCTGGAAGTTGGAGTAGTCCGTGCTCGGTACTGGAGGGGTTAGCGAACGTCGGATACCCTGGTCGTGTTAGTCCGGTTTCCATCGGATACTCCAGTGGATTGTGTATGGATGTTTTGGAAGATGTAGTCTGCTTTTTGCTGGTTGTCCACCTGCGCTGTTGTTGTAGTAGCTCCCCTTCTGCACACCTTCTCTCCTTCACTGTTCTCCCGTCTTCTATGCCTTAGTCGATATGATATTGGCATGATTTCTGCATATGATCAATGCCACATGTGCGGCAGGTTGGCCTCCACATACAGAGCAGCTGGCAGTTTTTAGTTGAACTTATTTGTACAAAGGTTGAGAGATGCCTTGCTATTTTTAGTTGTTAATTACTCGATACCATTTACGGAGTACCTGACCATACCCCTGGTGTCTCCTGTTGTTTTGTGTCTGCTCTACTTCTCTCTCTCTCTCTCTCTCTCTCTCTCTCTCTCTCTCTCTCTGTGTGTGTGTGTGTGTGTGTGTGGCGCGATGTATTCTGTGGAGCCTGTCAATGCTCGGGGTATCCCTGTCTGTGCTTTCTCCTGCTGTGTTGCTTGCACCTGCTGCTCGATCATGATGACCATGTCTGCTATGGAGCCTTTCTATGCTCGGGGTATACCTTTCTGTGCTTTGTTCTCTGTGTTTCACATGTGCTTCGCTTCTTTTCTTCCCGGGTACGCAGTGTGTTCCCCGCTGCAATCATTCCCTTAAAGCAGGCACAGTCTATAAGGAGGCACTATCCTATACGTGATCAAGCCCACCCTGAGGGATCTCCGGCTTTGGAATCTATAGAGAGTGGGACCGTGGACGCAGGAGCAGGAGTCCCCTGATGTGTCTCTGCTCAATTCAACCATGCAAGTCATGCAAGGTACCTAACAATCCCATCCATGGATGGCGCCAAGTTTCTGTCTGGCCACACCACCCCAGCGTATCTGCACACATTGCTGTCTGCTGTTTTGAAATCCATCTTCAACATGGATGATGGGGCGCCTTGTTTTGACCCGCATTCCTCATTTCAACATCTTCCTCATCTTCGATCATCTTCGTCTAGTTCATGCATCATCGCTGCTCCTTCTCCTTTGTCCGATGCTGCTCTGCTTGTCGTAATAATCTTTGTCTTTCCTTAACCTCCTGCCATATCTGTCCTTAACCTCCTGCCGTATCTGGTTACCTACCAACTCACCGTCTGTGGGAATTACCGTACCGTGCACAATGCGTATGTGGCACTTCAGTGCTACGGCAAAACATGTCGGGCATGGAGCGGTCGTAACTACTGCTGGCTAACGACTGTTGTTAGACAGGTCACTTCACTGTCTTCTGTCTTTTATGGGATCTATTAACTGTCTTCTGTCTTTTATGGGATTCTATCAACTTTGTAAGTCGTAACGAGTTTCTATCTGTTGTCTTTTGGGAGCAAAGCATTTCTGTTGCCACACTGATGTCAGGGGTAAGGCGTTAATCAATTTTGGCACTCTAGTCCTCAGTGTTCAGTAGGCTGTTTGATGTCTGGAGGGCCGCAGATGAGTAGACGTATGCACAGGCTAGGAAGTAACCGGTGGAGAGTGACTATAGAGGACTCGCTATTACACAGGATTCATCTGGTCGTTTCCCGTGCGCCTCCAAGGGCGCACGTTGTAGTAAGCTTGCGAATCCGATCAGGTTTTGCAGAGTTTGAAAGCGCCCTGTGGCGCCAGGCTAGGTCAGCCGCCATATGTGTTGGGCAATGTTCGAATGCAAGTACATAGCGGACGCACGGGACGAAGCAGAAGCCGATGTCGGATCAGAAAAGGGAAATCGCTATTGGTGGTGGTTGTCGCCGTATACATCCAAGGCACTGGTGTAAGTATATGACCTGAGAGGCCACGCGCCAAACATAAGTGCATAGCAGTTGCACGTGAGGATGAATTTTCTGGTAGAGAACCTGGAATGATGCACGGCCATAACTTGTCTTTTGTGCATGTCGTGAATGCCGGGACGTCAGGGCATACTCACACTGGGACATTTTTGACTTGTCTCTGGACATGATTTCGGGCCGATGTGTCCAGATCTAGGCGGAATAGCGTGATTCGCGCTCTTGGATGTTTCTTTTCTTTTATTCTTTTTTTTTTTGGAAAGGGCAGTGACCTGGGGCCAAGTCTCACTAGCAGCATTGAATTTCCTCAATGCCTGGATCTCTATGTATTTGCGGAGATGTGCGGTTGTGGACATCCAGCATGATTTCTGCACATCTACACAAACATGGTCCAGATTCAGGCTCGTAGGAAACTCGACGCTGCTACTAGTGGGAGTTGGCCCCTGCTGAATCAGAATTAATAAATTTGATCATACAACTGACTTGCCCCAGCTGATTCAGAATTAATAAATTTGATCAGACGACTGACTTGCCCCAGCTGATTCAGAATTATTAATAAATTTGATAAAATCTGGATTCAAACTTGGGCTGCCTGTTGGTTCGCTTTGTTATTCTTCTTTTCGAGGGGGGGAGATTGGGGGGAAGTGGGGTCTTTCCTGCACGGCCCAGGTCTTGCTAGTAGCGGACGTGTAGTCTTTCTGCCGAGTAAGTTTTAATGTGGCCTCACTGCTGCCGTAAGATGTTCGGATGGCAGGGCATGGCAGGAAAAGGTGCGTACTGGAAACCAAGTCGAAACCCCTGCTGTGTCACCCTGTCCTGTGCTCCAGTTGCCTGGCCCACATGGCGCCATGACAGTGCCAAGGGCGGAGTTGTACCTGAAGCAGGCGTGCGAGTAGGAGCATCTGTGTGCCGCGTGCGCAGCCGCGACGTACATCTGCTTGCTTTTTTTAAAGAGATATCATCATTTTGAAGTTCTTGCCAGGCCAACCTCCCTAGTCGCGAGTGTTCCAGATCGTCGGGCTATCGAGGACATCGGATGACACGCATTCCTCTTCAGAGTAGTGACTGTTAACGGATTCCGGAGATCGATTACGTGTGGAGCGCCGTTGCTTTGCCCGTGTCTATCTCTGCTCATGGGTAATGAGTCTGCACAGAGTCTGCGGTAATCTTCACGGCTATTCTGCCGCCCACTGTAGGCGAACCACAACCGTGGAGTTGTTGTCCGTGTTGCCTGCCTTTGTCCTTGTCAACTTTGACGTTACGGTTTTAGTAAGAAGGTAGGGATCTCGGGAAGGGGAAGCTCAACCGATGGATAACAATGCGATTATGCGATTATGATCCTGGTGCAGTCCAGATTTCAATGTTGGTTTTGTTTGGTACTGTGTTTGCATGCACGAGTCCCTGCGTCTATGTGCGAGCGTCATTGAGTGTTTGTCTGCCTGTCACCCGTGAGTGCATCTAATGATCCCACTTGTGCTCCCGTTCGGAGACGTGGGAGGATGGTAGCAGTAGTACGTGAGGGTGGGGTGGACACATTCGGTCACACAACGCATAACGGAATGGAGTCAATGGACCTATCTTTGCATGGCTTATATTTTTTATTACACGTACGTGTGTAAGAACAGTCTGGCTGGCTGGATAACTACATACAGCATGTCGTGTGGGTGGGATGTTGATTATTATTAATAGCTGTCTCTTATACACATCTAGATGTGTATAAGAGACAGCTATGTGGGTGGGATGTTGATTATTATTAATAGTGCAAAAAATATCGCTGGTCGCTCATCGGAGTAACACACATGTAACCTGTGTGTTTGTGTCTTGTCCACAGAGTTTTGGTTTGACAACCAGCTGCGGTCTACGGATAGTGTGCATCTTCTCCTCAGAAGAGAGAGGCTCGAATTCTTGTGAGGGGTGGGTGGGGGTAGGGCTCAACCCAGCACACTTTGTTCAGTGTGTGGCTATGTTAAAAATGAATCAGTGAATGGATTCAATGAACTAATTTCGTTTGATCGCGCTGAGGGTAATCCAGTCATACGGCTGTGTCCGTTTGCTAATTATGAACGTTGTGCCGCCGCGGTGACATGAGTGTAGTACGCCGTCAAAGCTGCATGTTTTGGCTGAAGGTTCATCTGTGCAGGTTGGCGGGTGTATTTCTGGCTCTACTGTTGACATCATTGCAATGGTGCATTATGTAGGGGGCTCATTTCTGTCTGTGTCTGCCGTTCGCTCTTGCCTTGCCTGTCCATGGAGGGGGAGGGGAGGGGAGGGGGAGTGTCCTTGCCTGTCCACATCTGTGCAGAGGGTTAATTGAACTTATTAGTTGTACCGGCAGTACGCGATCAGTAAACTCTTTTATTTTGTAAGATTTGGACTCTGGTCCTTTCTGGAAACTCCCATGTTTTTTGCGATAAGCGAGCCGAGAAGGTGATATCCTCGTACATCATTTAGCGATGGCGTTTAGCAGGTGGCTTTTCTTTCCGGGCCGGCTGTCTGTGGCCGGTTGGCACCGCAGTTAGTGATAGCTTCGTTATGTTTCCAGAAAGCACGCAATATATTATTATTTTGCGATGAAGGGTTTTTTTTTTTTTTTTTTTTTTTTTTTTTTCGGTGCCCTTCCGTACTATGTTTTTAGGGATGGGCGTCACTGTCTCCTTGTTTTTTCCTTTAGAGGACGGTGTAGTAGCAGGCACCAGCTTTCTTTTTATGCCCAGCTATGTGGTTGGTCATTACTCACGCCATCCCTGTTGTCGATCCTATGGTTGCCGTGGAGTAGGCATGGAGTTTGGGCATGCCTCTGGGTTCCACTTTTGTTAATTGTATACAGCAACAGATAAAGGTATATAAAAGGATTCTTAAGAATCTTAACTTCTTACAGACTTGTTGGACTAAACTTCATTAAAGCTACGAAACTTCCGCAATCCAGGTCTCGTGGATGTCATCCAATATGGTCTGTTTTTTTTTTTTTTCTTTTTTTTTTCCAGGAAAAATAATTACATCATAGGACACCCTCACGCTTCCTTCCGTCTCGCCGAAGGACCCCCTAATATCGTCTTTTTATTTTGTTCGTATTGGGAACCAGCGAATTGGTAGTGTTAGTCTTCCTTGTCGTCAGTCAATGTGTGCACACTGCATGCGTTAGGGTTTCGCACGTGTTACCGTCAGTCTTCCTTGTCGTCAGGGAGGTAGCACCTTGGGAGATGAAAGCAGAAATAGGCATATCATCAGAAGTAGCAAGTGGCTTGCATGGGCTGTGTGTTCCATATGAATTGCAGTAAATACTTAAATACTTTATTTGTAACTTGCGTTCTAGCAGTTCTGCTCCATGCAACATAGGGTCGAACTGGCAGGAGGGTTATGAGTCCGCTGAGGATGTGAAGTATGTTGTGGGGGTTGGTACGACTCGTATGCAGTTGCGTCTACTGTTCGAGAATTCTATTCTGTCTTCAGATTTGTCTTTTGCTGGAACTCTACGCATGTGCCTTGCTTGTTTTGGCTCAGCGCCCATCGGTTTGATCAGAATCAGAAGTAAACATCGGTTCTCGGTTCATTTCTGATGCTAGGATTGTACAGCTGTTGCCTTCTCTTCACAAAGGACTACTTGTTTTCTTCCACTAGATGCCAAGAGACTCGACTCGAGAGTTTTTCCGATGTAGCATCATACTAGCATGTCTATTTTTGGTCCATTTTTGCGGTTGGAGTTTGAGAGTCTTTGCTGACGTCACGAGAGCTGGCGATATATGTATGGCTCGTACTTGGAAACGACGAACCCCAAAGGGGTGATGAGAGATTATTGCCTCATCAATTAAGAGGGGTGCATTGCGGAGTGGAGTTGGATTGGTGAGTGCTGTTCCCGTGTGTTCTTTTGCATTGCAAGATGCATCGTCCACGCTGGATGACTTGGCTTCTGGTTCTGAGACTTTGCATGCATGTTTTTTCAGAGCATCATATCAGACAGGTTGTGGGAACATCTCCACACTAGGATGCGAGCCTATAGGCACAAAGTACTGCACAGTGGCCACATGCACTTGAGATGCTGCAAGTCTGAGCCTCTTTCTGGAAACCGGTGGCAATATCTATTGTGTGATGTACCTTGTGTGAAATGGGTGATGCACCTTGTGTGAAATGGGTGGAATGCCGGGGGTCGGTGTGGAGAGGAGGCTATTTTTGCTCGCTCAGGCGACAGCCTTTGGAATCTGACTCCCAGGTACCATCTGCTTTTGTCCGATTTCTCTCTCTGCTTTTTCAGGTGTCGTCGCTCTGATGAAAAGTAAATTGAAACAGTTGCGTAAGCAATTAGAATCATCTTGGTTGGCCACTGTCGCCTAGGACGTCAGGGAGTCTCGTGCACATTTCCCATTTGATCGATCCAGCCGACCGTCGATCAGTACTCGGCACAGGTCATAGTGAGCCAAGATGGTAATCGTCGTAATCGTCGTGATGTTGTTGCTGTACATAATGAAGCCTCTGTTCTTTTCTTGCATGCGGCCGTCAGATGAGAAGCTGGCGGCTACCATAGGTGCTGCGTATATATACATATATGTTTGTGACGACATATATGTTTGTGACGATATATATATATATGATATATATGTATATTGTGACGATATATATATGTAATTTAATGGCAAAGTCCTGAACTTCCAGGTTTGGACAGTGTTTATCAGAGGAGATGTATTTGGGGTTTGTACAGCTCCTGCCGATCAGGAGCAAACTCTGCTGATCTGGTGCCAAACCTCGTTGTGACGAACTGAATGACGACTGCTCCCAAGCATTACGTGAACAAGGAAAGTAATGTTGGAGAGAACCGGTGTCTACGGATTTTGAAGGGAAATCAGGTCGGATCCCTTTCGGTTGGATTGTGTAGCTTTCAGACGTCGTTGGCGTGAGCCAGGCAAAAGATGAAAAGAATTGCCACAGTGCGTGGGGAGACCACAGAGCTTCGAGGACTTTGCATTGAATGTCATTTCAATTTCTCTCTCCAGTGTTGGACCGTCGTTTCTCCCGTCGAGTCCTCGTTTTCATCCTGCAACCAGGTTTGCAAGGCTGCAAGAACTTCTCACGAGGTGGGTTTTTTCGTGCACGGCCCGAGCCTGCCATCTCTCCTGTAGTGTCATTTCCTTCCGGCCTGTCAAGTGCCCAGGTCAGCTGTTGTTGGGGCTGGGTTTCACCGCTTTCGGCATATGGCACTTTCCCGACATTGAGCGATTGGCTGGCTCAGCCTGGCTGTGAGAATTGAATTGCGGTCTCAGTCCGAGATTGAAGACAAAGACGGAGTGCTACTGCAGTGCAGAGCGAATTTAATAGGAGGTGGCGGTAGTGGGTAGTGGTGGTCCTCTCTCTCCTGTAGTGTCATTTTCTTCCTGCCTGTGAAGTGCACAGGTCAGCTGTTGTTGGGGCTGGGTTTTATCGTTTTTGGCATATGGCACTTTTCCCGACATATTGAACGTTTGGCAGGCTCAGCCTGGCTGTGAGAATTTAATCCCGGTCTCAGTCCGAGATCGAAGACTAAGACGGGGTGCTACTGCAGTGAAGAGCTAATTTAATAGGAGGTGGCGGTAGTGGGTGTTGGTGGTGGCAGTGATGAGCTAAACAATGTGAGAGAGGCCAGTGAAGCCGCTGTGATGGTGGTGCTGGACCTGGGATTGCAGTAATTGGGGGCAATATGAATACATATGGATATTCCAAATAGGAGATGCAAGGGAGGGCTGTGGTACGGACACCGGCTAGCCATCGTGGTGGTAGTGGGAAGCAGGCAGCGTCTGAGAGCAGTGTTAACAGAATACAGACCCATTCTGTAGCTTATTACTGTTTTTTTGGCCTAAGAATCTCTCAATGATGAGGGAACCCTTCTGAGTAGGAGTTTTGTCTGACTTAGTTTCTGTTCATGTGTTATGCATGTGTGCACAATTTGCGTTTCTGTTCATGCGTTATGCATGTGTGCATAAGTTGCACAGTCGTAGTCTATGAACCGTTTGTCGTCATTGTTTTCGCAATGTCACGGATGAACCACAACGTTTTTTTTTCTTTTTTTTTTCTTTTTTTTGGGCATACGGGCATTTGCCGTTGCAATTTGGAAAACGTGAAGATAAATATATCCTCTGTGATAGGTTTTATTTAATGGATATGTGATGGTCATACGGGCGTTTGTTGTTGCAACTTCGTTGGGAAATGTGAAAAACAAAATTCAAAAAAAATCAGAAAATTATATTCTCCGTGACATGCCGACTTTGAGGGCATACGCACAGTAGGAGTTTGTTAGCCTGTATGTGGATGTGGTTGTGGTCATATCTGGCCGTAAAAGGGGCCAGATACATTGCAGAGCGAGCTTGTGTGAGTTCACCCCAGTCGACAACTTGAGCACAGCCGATCTGGTGTGTAAAGAAACATCGATTGGTCGTCAGAGCACATCGCAGGTGGGCCATGCGAACTTGGTCTGTCGATGGGTTATGTTGTAGCGAGACCATGACAGGAAGTTTCTTGCAGAGTAAATGGAATGCGGATCGTGTTTGTTGACCATCCATCTGAAAAAGTCGCACGGCCTGACAGCAGTTGAGTTTCATGCCTGTGAAGTCAATTGGAGCTGGCCTCACTTGAGGGAGGGGACTGCTCTCCAGTGGTGTAAGATTTTGGGGTGGAGATGCATATGGTTTGGTGTTTGCATGCCCCCCTCCTTTGCTTTCTACAAGCCTGAATTCGTTTTTCACAAAAGGCTGAAAAGCTCGATAAAGGCGTTTAAGGCATTTAAGTGTTATAACGTGGCAACCATCTTATACTGATCAACCTTTGAACATAAGGCATTGAAACTTGGACAAGCCTCCATTCTATGCTCTGAGAGTTGGTACAAAAAACAGCATTTAGAGGGGCAAATCAGAGTTTTATGGAGTTTTCTGTTCTGGTCAGAAAAATATGGTAGCGAGGTGCCGAGTCGAAAAAAAACATTTAGAGGGGCAAGAAACCTGAATGTTTGTTTACAAAATGCTGCAGACTGCAGCTTTAGCAGCAGTGCGTACGAAGTCTGTAAGTGTGAAGTTTGAGCGTCGCACGAACTGCCGCAGTCTGTAGGAAAACAACCTGTTTAAGTTTTAACTTTGAAGTTTTGAGGTGTGCATGTCGACGTGGTAAGGAGGGATGGCCACCTCACAGAGTGATCTCCAAAAACGATGTTGGCGTTTGCTTTGCGGGAACAACTACGTGCTCGTACGTACTTGGTTAAGAAGCGCTTGGTTTTGAAGTGATCAGAGATGCTCAGAGACCATGTTAAAATTGTAAAGCAATGTTCGATTGACAGGAAAGCACAAAAAAAAAAGAAAGGTGTGGCTGCTAATGCGCCCTAGCCCGCCACGGAGCTGTTTGGGGATGGGAATTGCAGCAGTACAGATCTCTGTTGAGTGTTTGCTCTGCGTGTCTCAGTTTTAGGTTTATCCGTTGCAGTTTTGTGTGTGCAAAAATGTGCTGGAAGGATTATTAGATGGGTCTTTTGTCTCATTGCGAGACGAGCATGGAAATGTATGTGGTGTACGGGTTGGCATTTTGTAAATCTGAGGCCATAAAACATATGGGGAGGAAATTCTTGCAACGCGGTAGCAATAAATAGGCTTTCTGTGAATTTTTATTGGTTTAGTTTTCAGTTCATTGATTTGTTATTGTGTCCGACAAGAATTTGTGCTGCAGCATGTATCCGTTGTCAGCCTTTCAAGTATATCTTCTGATGCACTGGACTCCTCTCCAAAACATTGCTTGGAAGGGTTTTTAAGGCAGTCCAAACTCCCCCACATTGTGCTTCGAAGGGTTTTTAGGGCAATCCCAATGCCCCCAAGTTTTGTTTGGAAGGGTTTTTAGGGTGGGAGGGACTCAGTTTTCTTTGGTGATGGCTGAGTGTTGTGGATTGGAGTCTCAGGGCATGCTCGTACTAGCACTTCCCTGAATGTATCTGACCTCAATTAGGGCTGGACCTGGATGGATCTGAGCACAATTATGTTTAGAGCTATGTGGAAAGAGTCCCTAGTGCGAGCATGCCGTTGCCTATACGTTTCCACGAACCAACAAGAAGACGGCATACTCGCACTAGAGACTCTTTCCACATAGCTCTAGACATTATTGTGCTCAGATCCATCCAGGTCCAGCCCTAATTGAGGTCTGACTATGGCCTCTGACTATGGGACTCTGACTATGGGATGTTGATATTAATAAATGATGAAGTGGGGCACTTTATTTGAACGTAACTGGCTGCACTTATGGCTTTCCTGAAGACGATAATAGTGGGGCACTTTCCTGAATGCACCTGGCTGCAATTGTGGCTTTGGCCTCGAATGGGCATGCAGTGCATAGCCATTGAAAGGCAGAAAACTGCAACGGTCCTTACACTGAAATTAAGGCACTTTCCTAGACCACTGGTAAGTTTTAAGTTTCTAAGGCACTGGTAAGTTTTAACTTTCTAAACCACCGGTAAGTTTTAACTTTCTAAACCACTGGTGAGTTTTGACTTTCTAAACCACTGGTGAGTTTCCCAGGTATTTTTGGTTGGCTTGCATGCGCGTGATTGGTACCTTAGGGGGTTGACGCTGCCTTTGATGAATTTCAGCAACAACACACCAAGTGTATGGAGCCCTGCATGAACTAATGGTGATCAGCCCTTTTCTCAGTTGTTTTGTTCCAATGAGGCGGGTCAAAACGCCACAAAATTGTTGGTTGGGCCCACCAGACATAAGGTTGGGCACTAGGTGTTGTTTTAGCGCAGAGGTGATGATTGGGAAAGAGTGTCTGGTGGTTTAAGCCACGAGTACCTATGATGCTTTTAGGCGTTAGCTCGGTGGATGTCTCGGTACACTGCGCAAATCTGTATGCATTTACGGCAAAGGGGGCCTATGACCGCCTAAGTTTGTGGTGGTTTAAACCATCAGTACCTTTTTCAGCTAAAAGCTAAAACGTGCTGGTTAACAGAGTGGACTCGCTTGGGCCAGCACGTTGTCCAGATGCGGCCCGAGAACTTGGTGTGCAGGTCCTGCGGCCGAAGTGTGTCAAGGTATTCGCGGTTTAACAACAGAAGTGGGAGTAAAACAAGCAGTCTGCCAGGGAAAAATGCATAAAAGGTGGGACCTTCATTTTCTTGATGCAGGTTCAGAAGTGGAAGTAAAACAAGCATTCTGCAAGGGGGAAATGCATAAACGATGGGACCTTCGTTCTCTTGATGTAGTGTTCACCTTGCTAGTTTTCATTGGAAGTCTCTTGCTTTATTACAAAAGAAGAGGGAGGATTGTACCTTTTTGTTGTCATGGTGGGGTGTGAAGGGGACATGGTGCATTGCCAAGCCAATTTGTGTAGGGGAGGACTTGGCTCAGCTATCGGTCGTGGAAAGAACTAAACTAGAAATTCTAGTTTGATAAATTTGAGCGTTCTTGTATTAACGCGCATGTTTTTTTATTTGTGGCTTGTAATCGGGCATGAGGTTGTCGAGCGCATCAGTCTGGTGAGACAATCCTGGCCGCGCCATGCAGGATTTGGTCATTTGCGATAGAAATGGAGCTTTCGTAGCCGCTCTGGCCGACTGCGCCAGCCATACCTCTTGCGAGCTTCTACGACAGGATAGGGTGTACTCTAGGTACAACTCACCTCCATCTGCGGGAGCTATCACCTACCTTTGGTGGGCGTATCCCCGTCGAGCTACCAGTCCACCGTACAAATGGTTGCAATTGTAGAGGTGGATCAGCGGAGGACGTTTTCTCGTACGCTGTAGCATAAGGGGTATGCACGGTTTCATGCCTCTATCCGATCCTCACGCGAACCGGCGCATTGGAGAGCTGAAGTCCCAAGCGCGACTCGTTGCCGGTCGGTTAGGACGCATCCTACTCACGACGTGCTACACCACGTTACAAACATAAAATTAAAAATACACTTGGACGAAATAAAACACTGTCCCTTCAGTATCTAACCCATAACGTTGTAGTACTTGAGCATCGCGCGAGAAATTGAATATAATATTGCACGAACATAAGGCACTCTTATATCGATTAGCAATGCATGATTATGCAAGCAGTCGCAATGATGACGTACTATGTAGTATTCATAATCACGAGGTCCTTGGTGGTCTTGAGGATCATGTTTGACACGCTTCTTCAGGGGTTAAACCCTCGACGCTAGACAACCGTCGAGGCGGTTAATCACCACACCCTCTTGTGTATCCTAAGGAGGGTGGGTGGTATATAGGTTCAAGTCTGTGGTGGCAGTCAAATTCCATGGCCTTAGCGGCAATCTCCATCATCCAAGGCCTGGAGAGAAATCAAGGGGTTTTGACTTTGACGCCCGTCACAGACTCCGATGTCGAACTATAAAAATTAAAAAAAAACAAAAGATAAAAGAGATTGTTTTTTTAGAAGGCATAATTTGTTTAACCCTTGCGCACGGGCGCATTAGGTCGCGGGAGTTTACGTATTGAAGGGTGGCTGATGTGTGGTGGGTTTATGTGGCTCTGCTGTGCATTTTGGGTGTTGCGTAGTGTGTGACCACTRTTGTGAGTGTGCATACCGGGCGTGTCGTGAGAGGGGCGGGAGTTTGCAGCTTGAGGTGGTTGCGTGATCGGGCCAGGTTGTCTCAGTGGCTMAGGTGCTGAAATGGAAGCAGCATTGTGGATTATAGGATCTGAGGCCGGTGGAGTGGTTTGGAGAACATGTGCATTCGCAGTAGCAGTGCCTAGTAGTGGTGACTGTGCGTGCGCATTGGTAGAGGCGGAAGGTGTATGTGTAGCAGATGAGTGCATTGCAGGTGAGCCAGAGGCAGGAGTACCAAGTCTCATCTGGCGGCATCTGCGCAAGGAGTTGTCCTCGAAGTCTATGGCACCATTTCTCTTGGTTGTGCTTGGCGTGAGAAGTCCTTCAGCGTTAGGGAGGAGTGCTGCAGTGAACTTTCGTACAAATGGTACGTTATGGAAATCTTCAAAAGCGAGGATTTATATATAGAGTTATTATTTGAATTTAATAATAATAATAATAATACTAATAATAATAATGATATTAAAAAGAATAAATAAATAAATAAATAATTTGTATTTTAAAAGTAGGTGATTTAATTTATTTAAAAAAAAAAATATTAATTAATTTTTTAATAGAAGAAACTTTTTTATTTGTTTTTAACCATTAGCACCTTCGCCAGTGTTGGAAAATTAGGGAAAAGTGGATGTTTTTTTTTAAATTTTAAAAATTCAGAGGTGGGGTTTGACGATGGCTGCCATTGATAAATCTGATCAGTGACGGTTGTGTCGTTTCGGCCATCCGAAAAGGTTGGAGGCCCGTCCGAGGCCCGCTGGTTTCCCACTCGGCAAAGGTACAAGTGGTTTGACAAGTAAATAAATCAAATGTATTATAATAAAAATATATAGGAATGTCGGTGATCGGGACGGGTCAAATGCCTGAACGTGAACGTCCGAACGTGCGGGACCCCTTGAAGATGCGTTCGGCTGTTCGGGCCGAAAGTGGATTAAAAAAATAAATGACACTAATAATAAATTATT